ATTTCAGAGAGAGGAAAGGAGAGGGAAAGAGAGAGATAGAAACATCAATGATGAGAGTCATTGATCAGCTGCCTCCTGCACACCCGACTGGAGATTGATTGAGCCCACAGCCCGGGCATGTGCCCTGACTGGGAATTAGACCACGATCTCCTGGGTCCTAGGTCGATGCTCAACCACTGAGCTAAGCCCGACCAGGCTGCTGATGACTTTTTAGATACAATGCAAAACGCATGATTCATGTAAATAAAAATTTGGACTTTATTAAAATTAGAACCTTCTCTGTGAAAGACAATCTTCAGAGAATGAAACAACAAGCCATAGACTGGAACAAAATATTTGTAAAAACACATATCTGATAAATGACTAGTATCCAAAATATACAGAGAATGCTTAAAACTCAATAAGAAAACAAACATCTTAATTTTAAAATGGGCAAAGGATCTGAACAAACACTTCACCAAATAAGATATGCTTTTGGCTAACAAGATGGATATGAAAAGATGTTCAATACCATACATCGTTAGGGCATAATTCAAAAGAATATATATGCACCCCTATGTTCACTGCAGCATTATTTACAACAGCCAAGATTTGGAAGGAGCCCAAGTGCTCATCAGTAGATGAGTGGATAACAAAACTGTGGTCCATTTACACAGTGGGAATACTACTCAGCCATAAAGAAGAAAATCTTACCTTTTGTGACAGCATGAATGATGGACTTGGAGAGTATTATGCTAAGTGAAATAAGCCAGTCAGAGAAAGACAAGTACTGTATTATTTCATTTATGTGTGGAATCTAATGAACAACATAAATGAACAAAATGGAGACTGACTCTTGGATATAGAGAACAGAACGACAGCTGTCAGAGGGAAGGGGGTTAGGGGCTGGGCGAGAAGGTGAAGGGATTAAGAAAAGAAAAAAAAGACTCATGGGTGCAGACAATAGGATAGTGATTGTCAGAGGGAAGGAGGTGTGGGGGGAGGTAGAAATAGGTAAAGGGGGATGAATGGCGGTGGAAGGAGAAGACTTGGCTTGGGGTGGTGAACACAATATACTATACAGATGATGTGTGGTAAAATTATATACCTGAAACCTGTATAATTTTATTAACTAATGTTACCCCAATAAATTCAATTTAAAAAACCGACAACAGTGAGATACCACTATATCTATTAGAATGACCAAAATCCAGAACACTGACGACAACAAATGCTGGCAAGAAGGAGTAAAAGGAACTCATTCATTGCTGCTGGTAATGCAAAATGGCACAGCCACTTGGGAAGACAGCTTAGAAGTTTTTTGTGGGTTCTTTTCTCAGTATTAGTAACTTTATTTTCTCTATTCTGTGTTTGACAGAAGCATGTTGCCATGCTAAAACAATAGATTTTAGTAATACACTTTTCTTTATATACTTTTCAGCTATCAAATTTCTCAGACACCCAGTATACACTCGCTATCACATTTAAAAAATTATTTTTCCAACATTCTTGATGAAAGCTAGATAATGGATTTCATTAATCCCATTTTACAAATAATGAAATCTTATAATGTACTGAATGCTAAAGAAAGCATGTTTCATGAAGATAAAAGTCTTGGAACTTCCTTCTAACATTTTTCAAAATTACTGTATGTTACTCTTACAGAAGTTTTTTTTCAAAAAATGTAACATACTTTTACCATATGATCTAGCAATTGTGTTCCTTGCTGTTTACACACATGAGCTGAAAACATGTCTACACAAAAACCTGCACGTGAATGTTTTTATAGCAGCTTTATACATAATTGTCAAAGCTTGGATGCGACAAGGTGAATGAATAAAGAACTGTGGTGCATCTATACAATGGAATGTTATTCAGTGCCATTAAGAAATGAACTATTGCCCGGCCGGGCGTGGCTCAGCGGTTGAGCATTGACCTGGGATCCAGGCGATTGGGTTCGATTCCTGGTCAGGGCACAAGCCTGGGTTGCGGGCTCAATCAATGACTCTCTATCATTGATGTTTCTACCTCTCTCTCTCTCCCTCTCCTTTCCTCTCTCTGAAATCAATAAAGATATATTTTTTTTTAAAAAAAGAAATAAACTATCAAGCCTTGAAAAAATATGGAGAAATGTTAAGGCACATTACTAAGTGAAAGAAGACTATCTGAATAAGCTGTATAGTGTGTGATAACTAGTGAGTTTCTGGAAAGGCAAAACTGTGGGGACAGTAAAAAGATTGGCAGTTGCCAGAGATTTGGGGGAAGGGAGGGATTTTTTTAGGACAATGTAACTGTCCTGTAAGGTATTGTAAGAATGGATCCATGTCATTATGCATTTGTCAAAATCTGTAGAATGTACACCTGGTGTGAACTGTAATGTAAACTGTGGGCTTTGGTTGACAATGATGTGTCAATGTTGGTTTATCAATTGTAACAAATGTACAAATATTGGGGGTAGGACTTGGGAGGACAGGAATATTTGGGAGCTTTCTGTACTTTTCACTCAGATTTTCTGTGAACCTAAAACTAATCTAAAAATAGTCAACTAATTAAAAAATAGAATGTACAAAACAAAGAGTGAACCCTAATGTAAACTATAGACTTTAGTTAATAATAATATAATATAATATCAATATTGGTTAACCAACTGATGCAAAGGTACCACACTATCACAAAATGTTAATAATAGGGGAAATTTTTATGGGTGAGGGGGTAGATGGGCACTTTCTGTCCTTTCCACCTTTTTGAATAGAAAAAATTAAATGTGCCCATGCATACAGCAGGCAAGTACTGGAGCTACAATTCCTACCCATGTCTGCTAGATTCCAAAGACTTCTTTCTTTTTCCCATGATATCTCTCAGATCCAACTCCAGTTGGGGTTACTCTTAATGGTGAAGGCTAATAAATAAAGATTAATGTCTTTGAAACAGACATTGTAGGCGCAAGAGCAGCAAGCATGAGCAAAGCTATAGGCTGGCTGACTTAGACCCTTTCTAGACCCTTCTCCCTTGCCTCCCTCAACTCTCTAGACTGTTAAGTGCTAGAAATTATTTCCCAATGTCTCTTGCAGGTAGCTGTGTCACAGCTCTGGCCACTGTGAAATAAGCACACATGTGAGGTGTCAGGCAAAGCCTTTGCTTTTCTGATCCAGGCACTAACTCTTCTGTCCCCTTCTTTTCTTGTCTAAAAATGCACATAGAGATCCAGAGGTGCAGCAGCCATTTGGGGATCCCGGGGTGGGAGCACAAGGAGGAGGGCCTATATGCTGACTGGAAAGGTGGGAGGAGCCTGCTGGCATCATTCCCATGCTAAACCATGCTGGATGTTTACCCCACAGGCTTCTTTGAAGCTACTATTGTAGAGTTTTCTGTTATTTACGGAGAACACACTCCTAACTGATACATGTATATAATATAAACAGTAAATTTTTTATGGGAAATAAATTAAGCATACAATCATCACTTTTTCATGAGAGTTTTAGGAGGACTTCAGTAGCACAAGATTTAGATATCTTAATGATGTTAATTGATTATTTGAGTGTTTGTAGTAGATGGTTAACCAGAGATTATCTTTGCACCACTTAAAAAGTAGCCATATCATCAGAGGCAGTGAATGCAGATTCTGGACCCGGAGTTCTGCCTCCAGGGCTTTTGTGGAGGAGCAGATGAGGGACATGGGCCAGGGCAGGGTCTGGGGAGGTGCCTTTTGTGTCCAGGGATGCCTCTCTGTCCTGTCTGGGCCGTAAGTTTCCTGGTTACTGCCCTTGTTCTCCTGGGTTAGACTTTTCATTTCAGACAGCACTCTTCTCGGCTTTGTCCAGGATGGCTTATGGCCTCTGAGGTTCTGCAGCCATTTATGAAGGTTCATAAGTTGGCCTTGGTGAGGACTTAAAAAAGCCTGGGTATTATTAATCTTGTATGGGGATTTGAAATATGGGAGTTACTGTCTTAAAACCTTTAAATTCTATTTATAGACATTTGATGGAGATTTACTTGGTATTTGAGGGCATTTTTCTAAAATTTTATGTGTATGTAAGTTGAAGGACCTGGCTAAATACTAAAATGATAACTTTGTTAATTTACTATTCTAACAAGTTTTCATATCAATTCACAGTTACTAGTTACAGAAATGGTAAATTCTAAAATAGTAAACATAAAGTGTGTTCCCTTGCTAAACCACTTCTGTAATATGTGACACTGAGCTGTTTATTTTCATATATATATGTGTGTGTATATATATATATATTCATTTTTCTCCTTAAAAAACATAATTTACTTTTGAGTGTCTTAGACAGTAGAATTAAGAAAAGAACTCTAGCCTGAAAAGAGTTAAGTTTATTTGGTCCTGACTGAATTAAAGAGTGTCCAATCTGATTGTTTGCAGTTGATAGCTCAATATAACACACGAATCTTTAAAAATATATTAGAAAAGTCGCAAGTTTTGTGATTCTTTGTAATCTGATATGAGTTAATATCAATAAAAATATTTTGGTCCATTTTATGTACCCGGTGTTAGGCATTGTGTATGCTGAATTATTTTTAATTTTTTCTCTTGCTATTAAAATAATTTGTTTAATATTAAGTAGTAAAAGAATGTTTGGGTATTAGGTCTGGAAGAAAAAGTGGGTGACAGATCATAATTTATCAAATACAAATTTCAAAAATAGATATCCATTCTTACTAATGCAAGACAGAGTTTTACTATCTAGTTAAAAAATTTTGAGTTATCTGTGTGTGGTTGAAATGATAAAGATTTTATTGCCATTTTAAGTTATTAGCATTAAAAGCACAATTAACATAATTATACCATTAATAAAAAAGACAAAAATACTTTTTAGCATGAGTATTTATTAGCAGAAACTACAATAATGCAAGGAATATTTCCTGATACACAAAATTAGAACCCAAACACTAATAACAATTTCTCATATTCTAATAACCAGTGGGGTGACAAAGGCATCAGTGAATGCATCATTGAGAATACATGTTAACATTAGATGAAATATCCAGTTAGCTTCATCTCAGCAGAAGACAGCCACTTCTTTTTTGGTACAGCCTTCATAACAACACTTGTAAGATAATAGGTAAGGGGCCTGCCTCTTTTTTAGGAAATGTTTAACTAAGCGTATGTTTCTTAATTCTGAAAGACTTTTGTTTTCTGCTTCACGTTGTCTATGAAAGCTATTTTCCTTAAATTCTTCAAAGTTAAGATTTATATCATTTGATGCAGCTTGTTGTAGTTGCTCTTTCAACAATGGCTGGCTCTCAGCCAGCGTCTTCTCCAGCTCCTGTTGCGAAGTAGGAATGAATTCCATCTTTGTATTTAAGTTTTCTGCATTTTTGGCGATGGAAAATGGCATGATTTCTAAGTTAAAAAAAAAAGGGGGGGGAGAGAAAAATATCAGGAATCTATAAAATTTTGCATAGACATAAAGGAAAGCATTGCCTCAAGAAAATTAAATATTAAAACAATCAGCAAGTATCCTGATATCTAAACAATTTAGTTTACTATAATTGGGTAGCTCAAAGAACTACAAATTTACCAAGAGCTTTCTTCCACTTGGACCATCTGTTACCTCTCCTTATGTCCCCTTAATGCTTTCATTAAAGCCCTTTGACTCTACCTGACATAGCTGAAGTCATCTTAGTCATAAAAAACACTCAGTTTGACCACATGTTAATTTTTCTTACGTGAGTAATTTTCTTCCATTACTAAGTAACCTCTGAGTTATAATAATATAAAAGAGTGTATTAATTATTTTGAACTATTAAATGTTCCTTGGTGGAAAATTACTGCTTCAAGATAAAGTTAAAAAGGCAGAATTTTCAACTGCTCTGATCTCTTAGGGATACCTTCATACATCTACTATTTAATAATTTCTCTTCTCTCCAAATTGTAGCTGAGTTCCTTGTGATTTTAATGCCCCTAGTATTTTTGGCAGCTAGAATTAAATAAAATAATTTAATTCTTTTTTCTTAGCCTTGATTTTTTAAAATTTAGATTCTTAATCAGGTCTTTATTCACATGTGAACCAATTTTCCTGCTCAACTCCTTTTGTTCTCATGAGTGTACTCATAAGTTGCTAATAGGCTCTCTCTTCGTCAAGCAGGATATAACTTCAGGGTCACCAGGAGAATTTGTGAGTTTGTTTTGCAGAAGGAAAGAATGTCTTCAAGGTAGCTGAGACTGGCTGCTGACGCCCAGGAGTCTAATAGGAAAAGCATCATCTATGACTAAAGAAACACACACTTCTCTCTCAGTTCCCTGGAATTCTCCCTACTCCCTAGCTACATAAAAACTCCATACTTTTGCTTTTAGGGAGAGATGGATTTGAGGGATCTTGCTGTTCCATCCTTTCACCTCAGCCAAATCGAGTAAACCTCTTTCCATCTCCAAGAACCAGTGTCTCCATGTTTTGGCCTACTAGTGCATTAATACACAAACCTGAATTTGGGAGGTTACTCTGCAACAAAATCAAAAGTTTAGCTATGCTTGTCTGAAGGGCAAACTTCCTCTGACTCTTGGTACTTTGCAGTTTCTCCTGAACATGACGAGGCCCTTTTTTTATATATTTTTTAATCTTCAATGCCTTCTCTCACAAATGAATTTCAAGATCCAGTTCAAAGCTCTACAACCCTGGCCGGTGTGGAGCTGGAGGAATGTTGTCCTGTGCACAGAGAGTCCTGGTCAGGGCACATGCCCGGGATTGTGGGCTCAGTCCCTGGTAGGGGGTGTGCAGGAGGCAGCCAATCCATGTTTCTGTCTCTCATCGATATTTCTCTCTCTCCCTCTCTCTTTCTCTCTCTCTAAAAAAAATCAATAAAAACATATTTTTAAAAAATCTGTGCTCTCCCCTTTGGTGAAATTTACAAATGAAAATATAACTGAAACAAAAAAGGGGGTTTTTGATGTCATGGGCCTTGTCCCAGCCTTTTTTTTTCTTAAACAGAGGAAAAGGGTCTTTAAATCCCTTCATGTCCACCTCTCCAGGACCCTGTGGGTGGTCTCTTGAGTTCTACCTCAGACATGATTGATAACCAGCTCATACCTCACTGCCCCCTGCCTTCTCAAGATGCCTTGTCTAGTTGCCCCAGCCACCAGCACTCCCTCTGTCCAGCCCACAGACCTTGACTCTGGGGTCTGGCCCCCATTCTCCCTGCCTCTATGGGCCTTTGGGCAGCTTATCTCCTCTGTGGCTTCCCTCTTCTCCCCACCGAGTCACCCTGGCTGCCAAGAGGTGAAGGGCACCAAATGCCTCTCAGATGAGACTATTTGCTGTTCCCACAGCTTTCCCTCACTCAGGTGATATCCCTGGTGAGACCCTTCCTAGAAAAGCAAGTTATAAGAGAACAGCCCAAACTTTTAGGCACCAGCAGCACTCACCTGCAGGCTGTTCAGATCTTGTCTTACGCTGCTTCCTCATATCGTCTGCCCAGGTGTGAGTGCCACAGACATGGATGAAGAAACGGACTAATTCGAGGTTGCACTTCGTAAAAACTTCCATTTCCTGGCCTTGGGTCTCTCTGGGAAGTTGGCTCAGTAGCAGCCAACCTCCTAGCAGGTGGAACAAGAACAGGCCCAGCATCTTGGATATTATCTCTCTTGCTTTGGGCACTTCAGCCTTTGTCTAGAGACTTCAGCTGCTGCCACCTACCAGCCTCTGCCAGAGTGCCAATCCTGGACTTCAGGATGCTTTCCCTTGGCTCCACCAAGCTTTTATAGCCTTTGGGCTACCACTTAGACCTTGAGGCAATGGTCCAAGCTCCACCCCTTTCCCCACCCATCTCTTCCCCCCGCATCTCCCCCAGCTCTAATTCATTCTTCTAACCTTTCCTCCTTTTGCCCATCTTTCTGTTGTTGGCTCTCTTACAGTTGTATTTTTTTCCTCTTTTTTTTTTTTTTTTTTTTTTTTCTCAAGGCATTTTGTATACTTATGTAAAGTTAGTCAATATTTGAAGTTTTTATTATAAAGGGAGGATGGCCATTACACTAAATTATATCAACAAAAATAAAATATAAATTATTCATATTCTCACAACCTAGGGTTTTCCAGCATGAACAGTTGCTGCATAACCTTCTAATCTAAATAAGATTATAGTTAGGTTAATTAGTATAGTGTGTGGTTTATCAATCCACAGAAATATAATGAACAAAATGATAAGTTATTGACAAGAGAGGGAAAAATGATGAATTTTTATCTGAATCGCAGTAGAAACATTAAAATTCTCAATGCATCATGTTAGACTTGTACAACATCTTAAGTTTGCCATGTACTTTCTCCACGGACTTTCCTTCAGCTCCTCTGGGAGGTAGTTTGATAGTAATCCAGTTTCTTGAATCCTTTAATTTGAGATTGTATTCTGTATCTCTAGGGACTGGAGAACACACACACACACACACACACACACACACACACAGAGAGAGAGAGAGAGAGAGAGTGTGTGTGTGTGTGTGTGTGTGTGTGTGTGTGTGTGTGTGTGTGTGTGTGTGTATAATTTTGGTCAAATGGTATTCCTTTATTTGAGAGAGAACTCAGAAAAATACTTCATGAACNAAGGGGGAAAAGCAGTGGAATCCCACCATTCCGGGAAGAAAATTTTGGCAGTACACGTTACAGCACAAAAATCATGTTTTTTTGTTTGTTTGTTTTTACTGTATTTTATGTTTGCTGTATTCAGTGATACAAGCCTTTTAATTTTATTTAGTTAGAAACAGTCCCTGGATAGCATATTAGTAAAAGAGGGTTTGGTAGAAAAAAACAATAGTTGGGTATGGAACAGTCATTAAACATACGACCTGGGAATCCTGTGTAGCTCTTAAACCAGTTTTAAAACACATGTTTCTTTCCAGGTACAACAAAAACGTATCCAAAGATTTTCTTTATTAATATGACGCACATTGCTATGTAAAATAATTTTATATATACATGCAATTGGAATCTTTCTTTTGTCCACATTTCAAACCTAAACATTTCATTGTGATATCTTCCCTCAGTATAGTCTTGAAATACAGAATTACAAAGATTACAGAGTTTTTCTAATGGACTTAGAGTCAGTATAATATACAACTATTAATTGCTTTAAAAAAAAGGGCTGTAAGGTATCAGACCAATGAGTAATTTTTACGCAGCCTTCTCTTTAGAGATTTTTAAAATTAAGAATCTTTTAAAAATTTCAAGAAAAACCTCTAGACTAATAAAACAAGCAGTGGGTTTGGTAGGCAAAACCGAAAAAGTAGTAAGTTGATAAGAAACAAGAACTATGTATCTTAGGATGATAGTATGCAAAAATATTACATGCACTGGCATATTTACCTTTTGCTGTACTCATATATGATCATAGTGAGCAGGGCCGCAGGAAAGCTAGACCAGCCAAACCTGACCCCCTCTCCTCCACAGCCACCCCGCCCCCAGTTTGTTTGATTTAGGCTCCTGCCAGTAGGGATATGTGTAAGAGAAAGTTCTGACCTGTCGAGTACGTCTGATATGATTTCCCTGTCTATCCGGCTTATTCCCAGGTCGCTACTCCCCACACCTAAGTCCACTGAGTTAAGTTCTAGAGATATTTACACTGGAAATCTAGGAGCACAAAGCACTTTGCCATTCTCTGATTATCAGGATAGGTCAGGGAGGGTTAGGAGCAAGAATCTGGGAAAGATTTTGGGAATAATTCCATTGAATGTTACTTAACAATCCTGAAAAATTTATAAAATTAAAATTCCTAAATACACCAGTCTTTAGCACGAATGGGCTGCGCAATACTTGAAATGTCTTGTAAAGAGCTAATGTCAGTAATATAAGGATATGCTAATTAAATGGTGAAAAACAAATGTGTATTATGGAAAAGGAAATGTTTTGTAACCTGTCTATGGTTTTAGCCAATTTTTAAAAAGTTAAGTTTATTGGGGTGACGTTGGTTAAAAACATTATGTGTTCACCACTCAAAGTCTAATCTCCCTCTCTTACCATATATTTGACCCCCTTTGCCCTCCTTATCTTCCCCTCATTCCCTTTCCTCTCTGGTAATCGCCCTTCTGTTGTCTGTGTTTATGAGTTTGTTTCGTTTGTCCACTTGTTTCTTTCTCTTTTATATCACACATATGACTGAAATCACATGCTTTTTGTTCCTTTTCTGGATGACTTATTTGGCTTAGCATGATGCTCTCAAGATCCATCCATGTTGTTACAAATGACAGTATTTCATCTTATTCTAGCCAATGCTTTATAGAAACACATTAATCTACTTCAACCTTGTAACAATAGCACCCATGAAAAATACAAAGATGTTCAGTCATGAATATAGAAGCTGAACAATCATATTTTATTCCTTTTTGCTTGACTTTCAACAGTAACCTTTCATTTTGCAAGGATATCAAATGTCACTTATAATTTGCATATATCTGAAGAGATTAACAAGTTATATTTTATACTTATTTGTGCCTGGCTCAATATAAAAACCTTGGAACATCTCAGAATAATCCTTACCAAGTGTTCTCAAACAATTCTCAAGCATTTATTAGCATGCCAGAATGACATATTAAAGCTTTAGAAAAACATAATTCTGTTGATTTTCAAGAGGTATTATGTTCATAGCAGCAAGTTTGAACAGAATTGTAAATTGCCCTTCTCATAAAATGAAGTTTAATTCTCCTTTTTTTTTTTTTTTTGATAGGTATGATTGGCTATATATACATTTTTAAGTAAGGGGGTGTTGACCTTAAACAAATAGATAGTCAGATATTCTTCCAGCAAAACAGGTTTACTATTTGAGAACAACAAATAATTGCAACTCAGGACATGTGGTCCAATCACACACCACACACTTTGCCATGAATGAAGTCCAGAGAAACAAAGGAGAGAAATACTCTTACGGATTTTAAAGGGGCTGCTGTAAATGAAGAGTCCATTAGGGGAAACAAAGTTCAAAGGATAGTGACTTTTCATTGGCTGAGTTAATGGCAGTTTTTCATCAGCTTACGGGGCAGGGAGGGCTCTGTTCTTCCTCCAGCTGAGGTAGTGAAGGAATATCGCTTCCTGTGGGAGATGCAAGGCAGTCTCTTCTGTTGGGGTCAGTAGTGTGCATTGTGACTCGTGCGTGGGCACTCTCTCTTACAGCCTCCTGGCTCCATTTTAAATGAGCTTTCTGTTTATTAATTTTTGCAGGGGATACCCAAAAGCACTTGACAAAGGGAATCATTCTGGACTAAGCTGACTGGTGGAGAAGAAAAATTGTTAAGTGCCTAGGGAAAGCTGTGTACATCTGTATAATTATGAGTTCATCTGTGACTCTGCAGTTTTGAACATGTGATTTATGAGCTTCGGATGCGGGTGTTCTTCCTGAGATTTGGTGTGTGTAGAATACCTCCTTCTCACTTGCTTCCAGTGACTGAGTCTACCAGATTCAAGAATGAGCTGTTCTGAGTGCCTAGCACCACTTGCCTAATAGGTACACCTTTATTCAGAATACCCTATTTCCCTGCTTTCCCGTTTTTTTGTCCACAGGCCCAGATACCTCACATTCTGGATTTTCCAGGATAGCCCTGATTTCGATTTTATTCTTTTCAGTAAATACCACTTGTTTAATGCATAACTAAATGTCAGTTGAATTTATACCCTTTTGTATGTGGAGTGTCGTCTAAGTGAACCAATGAAATACAGCCCCTTATCACATCACTTACTCTAGTTTTAGTTCTCAAGTATGTTCATTATGTTCATAGGAAATTAATAGTCAATTTTTTGAGAAATAAGGTACATAGTCAACTGCTTAACAGAGAAGTGTTGCCATCAGCTATCAGGTTTTCCTTTGTAAAATAGAATTTTACTTAATAGGGTAGAGTGAAAACAGCAGTAGACAAGGAATATCAATAAACATAGGATAACGGCCTTAGGAAATACAGTGCTGCTTACCTGCATTGTCCACTGCCTGCCGCACCTGCGTCGTCTCATCTTCATCACGCTCAGCGGTACCTGAGCTGGGCAACGTCAGTGTTGCCGAACTACAGGGAATGGGGTCAGTCGCGGCTCCGATCTGTGAGTGGCGAAGTGAGGGTTGAAACTGAGACCGTGTTATCTTGCTCACACTTCATCATGCTGCGCAGGCACTTGCCCTGTTTCATAGGTAATACTCAGGGGTGCTTTGCCAGAGGTTACACGGTAGGTAAGTCTATGGTGGCTCAGCGGCTGAGCGTCGACCTAGGATCCAGGAGGTCACGGTTTGACTCCCGGTCGGGGCCCATGCCCGGGCTGCGGGCTCCATCCCCAGTGGGGGCGTGCAGGAGGCAGCCGGTCAATGCCTCTCTCATCATTGATGTTTCTATCTCTCTCTGAAATCAATAAGGATATATATGTATATAAAGAATCTATGGTGGGGCTCAAGCAAAGACTCCAGATATCAAGTTCAGCGCCTTTTTTATCACATAAAAGTTTCATGTCCCAGGAGTGTCTACTGAACAGTCAATACAGTAACAATACATTGATTTGATTTTGAAAAGTAACTATAATTTGGATTTTTATAGTTAATATGCACATACATAACAGGATGAATGACACATTTTATGACCCTTTTAAAGCAAATCAACGAGTTTAAA